AAATTGATAAGGTGGTAAAATTGGACAAATTATTATTATTTTATTATATAGATTATATAAATATATTTTAAACTTTCTATACAAAACATTGTTGGCTTGCTATTTTTCGCTCAGTGAATAAAATCTCCACCCGTTTCCGAAGAATTTAAATTATCCAAAATTGGGTGAGCTCTGCCAAAGGACAACAAAAAGCGGAACAAAGCCTCAGACAGTGGTCATTTTTCGGGGGAAAGGGGAGGGAAAGGACGTTGGCAGGGCATGGGGACATCTGTTCGCAGCTTAGCAGGAGCTTAACCCAACGAGCGCCCGATTGTCTGAAATATGAAAATTGGTCATCACACGTGGAGCCCAGCTGCTGATTTGGCAGGATATGAATGCGGATTTCATAAATGCCCCGTGACTGCATTATAAATTATTCAATTTACTTAATACAAAATCAATTCTTATAAATTGAAATGGGCTTTGGCGGGGGCGAAGTGATGGAAAAATCATGATACCATCATCATCGTCGCTTCATCATCATAACAATCAAAGAGCGCCATGTGGGTGAGTGTATTACACAATAAACATCATCATTAAATATAATTGCATGTAACAGTTACTCAGTTTCAGTTTGGATCGAAATTCTGCCGTCAAAGAGATGGGGAGTGGGCGTCCTGTGGTTTTTCTGGGTGGTATTTCTCTGGTTGAACGAATGTGGAAAACCGCATTTGTTATGCAAACGCTCATTAAAATGTTTGCCGCGTTACGCATACGCATTGTTGGACGAAATGAAATCGCATACAGTTTACTTTTTCTCCCCGTTCAAATTCCATTCGATTTGTACGATTTTCATTTTCAGTTTTCCCTCTTTTGTCCCCTCCACTCCACAGCATGACCACTTTTCGTTTTAACTTTTCACAGTCCTAAAGAAGACATTTTCACCTGCTGTTCTGCACTTTCCACTTCAACTGCAGCAAGGCCAAGGAAGGTTGAGTTGTTGTGCACTGACACTCTGAATATTTCAGGAATTTCTTAATTGTTTAACTGGCAGCCGGAGAAAAACAAAACAATCCTTCCATGGCCACTTTTTCTGCAATCCTTGTGTCCATTTAATAATTCAAAATATAATCGTTTGTTTGCTTGCACTCAGGGAAAATATTGTTTATGTATTATTTTCGGCATACTAAATTTAAATATAATTTCGGGGAAATTGTTTTATTCTATTTTGCATTTGATCTTTTTTGCAAGTTGAGCTTATATATTTACAAGTGATATTATTGTACGCACTATACAGAATCTGTTTCAGTGTGCGCGTGCCTGTGCTTATATTTTATATTTGAAAAACAATTTTCCAGCAACGACAATGAAAATGTCGGCCAAGTTTGAACGGGGTGGTCCTGTTCTTGGTCCAGTTGACCGGGACAACTCAGCATGTGGCTCAAAGTGCCCAAAAAAAAACTTGAAACGAAGCACTAGATGAAGCATAAGCAACACAGCGCGGAAAAAACCATAGAAGGCAAAAAGAAACACAGAGAAATAATAAAAAGAAATTGGACAATAAAATACAACAATTTATGGCGTAGAGCAATCCTTTTTGGTGGCACTTCTTGGGGAAAAGGCGGAGGTGGCACCAAAAGTCGGGATAAGGCGGCAACATTGTTTGCGGTGGTGGTGGGTGGCAGGGTGGTTCAGTGGGTGGGTCAGCAAACCGTCATTGGAAACTAAACGAAAATGTTTAGTATGATTTTTTTATTTCACTTTGCTATTTTTCTTTCCGGCCCCACCCTCACTCACATCCTTCTTTTTTTTTTATATTTATTTATTATTGCTGAGGTTTTTTGCTTTCATATTTTTGGTACTTTCGGGGTTGGCAAGTCCAGATTTATTTTAAGAGGATTTCGAGTGGAACTAGTGCGCCAAGTATTTCGGGATGTCAAATCAAAATTAATGCCATAATAATTTAACAGGGTTGCCATTGTGTGTGGAAATTTAACTGAAAACAAAGTATTTGTAGAAAAGGGTAAGAGAATGAATAAAAAATATTTTCATAAACTATTGAGTGGAATAAAAAATCCATTTTAGCTTCAGTAAGTATCTGTATTTAACAGATTATTTTAAAATATTTTTTTATGTAAGAGGACTTATCCCACTTCATCCACAGCCATAATACGTACTTGGCTTTCGTTTCGCTTCACTCTGGTTCGATTTATCCGCACTCGGTTTTTATTACTTTTATTAGTTTCCACTGGTAAGTGATGGCTGTTGGGGCTGCTGCCAGTGGTATGGCTGCTGCTGCTGCTGGTAACAAATGTTTAACAAAAGTTGTTGCCACCAGCTGCCAGCGAGATGATTTAAACGAGACGTGCGCTGCCAGCCCTCCGGCAATCGGGTCCTTTTAGTGCCAAGGACGAGTCCCGAAAACCGAAACTTTATTTCATTTAATTGAAATTTTATGTAAAACACACATTTCGTTTCGTTTGATGCATAGTTTTTTAACGCTCGCAGCGCACCCCCAACCCCCAATCACCCACCCCCAACTGCCTCGACCAGAAATGAAACAAATGTGAAATATTTGCAAGTTTTACGAGCATTGAGTTATGTGGTTTTGCGGCTAGCGGGATTCCAGCTGCTTGACCTTCGCCCCGAATAAAATAAAAAAACCGAAAATGGAGATAAATTCCATGATTTCTCACTGTTTGAACTGTTTTGGCCACCAAAGCGCAAATAAATTACATTGGCAAGCACGGGAGTTTTATCTACCCCAGCTTAGGGCGTATAAAATGCGCTGATATAAACAAACTGGAACTGCAAATCCTTTTATTTTTACGTTCGAATTGACAAGCCAACCCCTGACAGAATTCAGACAGATAAATGGTTGGGGCAAGGACGAGGAATCCGAGTGCTGGCAGGATGTGTGTTTCGAGTGCTATCATCGCAATAAGAATATAACAAAAAACAATGGGAAGTGGAAGTGTGCTGGAAGTGTTGATGGTCGTTGAAGAGCTTCACTTACATCCACTGATTTCCTTAAGGGGAATGTGCGTTTTGCTTGCCCAAAATATTCCAACAAAAATACATATTCCCTTGGTTAGTTTTATAATTTTTATGAATTTATTTATATTCCGTTTTGGTATTTTTCAGCCGGCCACTTACGACATCTTCCAATTTACACATATGAATTACTTTATTTATCCTTTGTTTGTTTTTGGTTATTTTCCAATTCACAACTTGACATACTTTCCATACAATTACAATTACTATTTGATCATTATTCATACAAATATTTACAGGGTGTTTAAACACTGTTCACGAAGTCAGCATTTTTCAAGTAATTTCCTATACGGTTACAGTTAAGTTTCTCACTTTATTTTAGGCTAATTTTAATCGATAAGTTGTAGTTGGTTTTCAATTTCCATCAGCAGTAAAAATGGTTGAATTTGTTTGTGATTTCGTTCTTGTCAGTTTTTGTATGTTGTTAAACATTAAATAATTATAGTTATATATAAGTAGTAATAATATAGATCTGTAATTTAATTTTAGTTTTGATCACATGTGTTATTCTTTGCCTTTTTGTTTTGTCCACCCCTCGCCCGGTTTATTCATTAAATATGTTTTGGATTTGGATCTATTTTTTCAACGTTTTCGCTTTTTATTTTCTAACAAAACATTTTAATTTAATTTATAAGTTGAGCTGCAAAAAGTTGGAGTTGGCCTTCTTTTTGTCTATGCAAATTTGATGACTAAATTAAAACAAAATATTTAAAGATACATATCTATACATGAGTGTGTGTGTGATATAGGTATGTGTAGGTATATGAGAGTTAAATGGTTCTTGAACAAACGCGCTTACAGGGTTTCCCGTTTGCCTTCTATACAATTGCTATTTTATATTATTTCTCGCTTAATTGGTTTGCTTGTGAACTTATTTGCAATTTTGGCGGGTTGAATTTTGTATGGATCTATTAATTATACAATATGTTTACCGTTTCGCTGCTTTTTATTTTCATTTTCATTTGCAATTGCATCGCTTTACTTGAATATTGATTAAAAGATTGGTATTTAAGCCTTACAAATGATGCAAAAATGTGGTTACTTTCAATTCGTGCATTGAATTACATTCCTTTTTTCGGTTGTCCTCGATTTCGCATTAAACCTTGGCTAATTAAATGTTTAATGTTAATTAACTAATTAAATGGGAATTTCATTTAGGTTAATAACGAAATTAAAAACTCTTTAAACGCATAATGTATTATAATTCAATCGTTTTGCTGTGCGTGTGCCGGCTAATGAATTCAGATTAACGAACTGCATTCGCTATCTGATCCGCAAAGCCCAGCAAAAATCGCACATATGAATTCAACATTTACTTCATTAACTATTAGCTATATTCTTTGTAAACTTCAATAACTTTTTCATAGAAAAAATACACGATGAAAAATTAGATTTTCCCTCTGTACTAACATTGAGCTTGACTTTTGTGATTAGCCTCGGCTTTGCTTCGAATTCCACTTTCCACTTTCTTGACGCTTTATTAATTTCAGGCTAAATTTGCTTTACTTTCACTATTATAGGCTTTACTTTCCCTAGCTTTTTGTGTGCTATGGTTTTTCCTGTTTCTCGTTCTTAATCTTCCGCTTGTCCTCCTTTCTTTTTCTCTCTTTTTTTGCCTGACTTAGAGCTAGAGCTAGAGATAAAAATAAACATGGCAATGATATTTACACAATGTTGGCCAGTTCGGGAATGTGGTGAAGAAGGGGGAAGAAGGGGTCTTTGGGGTGTTTTGTGGGTGGGTGGCGGTCTCCTCTTGCCACTTTGTATTTGTTTATGGGCAATGCCAGCTGTGCAAAAAGTTGTATGCACTGAGGAAAAACGTTTACAGAAGATTGGTACTCCAAAAAAATTATTTTAGTAATAAATATAAATGAATTAAAAATTTTAGAGTTTTTTAAACTTAAAAAAATATTTTTAAAGCCCGGATTGGACAACAACAAAATTTAAAAATATTTTCTTTAATATAATTTTGTGTTGGTAAGACCCTAAAAATTGTTTAATTATAATAACATTTAATAATATTTTTTCTCAGTGCTGCAACAGCAGTTGCCCAGCTGCTCGACGCTGAGCGATTGCAAAATGTCGGCGTTTTTTCCTCCGAATGTGTGCGTGTGGGCATGTGTTTGTGCAGCATCATGCCACACACACAAACGCACTCACAGGCACACAAACAATAACAAAAACAACAACAACAACAGTAGCAGGGAGGAGGAAAACTTTGTCAATTAACCTAAAACAAGTTTCACTTTACAACACGTACGCTTGACATAATTTTTTGCCATTTTCGCCACGGGGCTGCGATGAATGAAACGCTATGCTGATGGGGTGAAGGTGAACTTTACAAATGGAGAAATTATCACGTTCTTGGTCCTTGATAACGACAATAGGATCGGCCCATAATGTCTTCGGCTGGAATTGACTGATCAATGGGTGCCACTCGCAGGAGTTCCATCTGATCGCGCACCTGTAAGTGGATTGCAAGTATATTTTGATTTGATTAAAATACCATTAGCCATTAAATAATTATTTATGCATGCGTGGGTGAGTCAGTGGGTGAGTGGGTGTGTGTGGGAGTGACGACAGCTGCATTTGATTGATGAAAATTGATTGCATCGCGCCATTGCCAAGCTGGCACAACTTACAAAAGTTATTTAGCGTAATTGCCAAAGTTTTGTTTGAATTTTCAAATGCAGAAATCATTTCTTCGGAACTTCTCGTGTACTCTTCATATGGCATTAATATTGTTCGCAAGTTTTAGCGCGGCGCTTAGGCAACAAAATTGGACTTGGATATTAGTTGGGGTAAATACTCGCGGGGAAATTACCAAATGGATTTTACAGAATTTATTACGCGCTCTGTTGGGACTTTAAATCTGATTTATATTGATGTTTAAAAATTTAATTGTTGGGTTTTTGTTTATAAAATTCCTTACGACTTTAATCTAAAGGAAAGATGAGCAATATGAGCTTTCTTTAAACGCAATACATTTTTCTTCACTTCAAAAATTTAAGAAATACTATTTTTTAATCAGGTTTCATATGTTTTTCAGCCAACCACTTAATGTCACAAACACATTTAGTCTTTTTGAAATATGTGACGATTTTGAAAACTTCCTGCAATTGACTCTCTTTAAGTGCTTGGGGAAATGCCGTCACCCGACACGAGAAACAGGAATACAAAGAGTCAAATGTTCATAGAGAAACCCCTTCCGCATGTCTAACTCACACTAGCACACATGGCATACGCACACAAGCGCCCTGAATCCTTAAAGAGAGGCCGAAATCTGAATGCCAAACAGGCAGCTCTTATTCCTGGCAAAAGTTGAAGCACATTTAATGCCACAAACACATAAAAAAGCGGCCAGAAAAGAGAGGAGGGTGGAAAAACGAAATAAAATGAGAGAAAATGTTTTGTTTTCAACACCAAACACCTTTTGAAGGGGGCGGTTCAGGGGGTTCGGAGGGCTTCGGTGAGGCCTAGGTCGGCTGGTCCCATTTCCTGGGTTTTGTTTGCCATACAACAATCGAATTTACGACTTTTTTATGAGGCTTTATGTGCGCCCTGCCACACAAACAACAATAAAACGTCAGCTTTGGCTCAGTCATTGCACTTTGTGTGCATGACCCACTCACACAATCACACAAACACACAAACAGTCCAAAACACAACAACTATGGAAACTTTGAGCCATTTGCCTTTTGGCTAGACTCTTCCGGCCTTTGAGCTGGATTTCCCCCACTCGTACCCCTCCATTCAGTGAAAATGAAAAGCCCAGTTTCACAGTTACAGTTTGAGTGAAGAGCTCAAAGCGGAAAATGAATTCCCACACCACCACAACGCAACGCATTTCCCAGCTAAAAGAACCCAAAGCCAAATCAATTGTAAGAAGGTCAGCGCCAACACTTTCACAATTTTCAGCACGCACACAAAAATAGCACACGAAAAGTTGAGATTATTTGGCTGAGATGATTTAAAGATAATTTAGATGGGGCTTACAATATTTGAAAGAAAATGTTCAAAAAATATAGCAATGAATCTAAAACAATACATTTTTTATATATTAAAAAAAAATGTATATACGTTTTTAGGAAAAAGATGAAATAATCCAGAATTGTATAATCTTTTTCAATCTTTATTTTTTCAGATATATTTAAGTTATATTTTTTTTCAGTGCTTCCAGTAATAATAATTATCTTATAAATCAGAGAATTTTCCCTCCTTATTTACAACAAGATCAGATTGACCCCCATTTCAAATCACTTTATTTTGCAGTGCACACAAGGCCTGCAAAAGATATTTAAATGAATTTGTCTCGCACAAATTGCTGCCATTTGCCGGGGACATTTGCCCATCCCGAAGCCTCCGTCGCCGCCACTTGGGCGATGTGTCGTGCCAAATGCCGTTCTTCGCTCTCGCATTAGATATAAAAGGCTAAAATAAAAGATACATTTACACAAACACACTGAACACACAAGGGGAAAAAGGGACCCGGGGAAGGGGTCTCTCTGAAATCCTTGGCTTTTCTTTGCCCCCGACGAAGCTGCCTTTGTGTAGATAAAAACTGGCGTCGAGAAAATTATCATGTTCATGGGCTATGGCTATGGCTCTCGGATCCACAGATCCACTGGCCACCGCCTCCCACGCCCACAAATTTGCGGCCATCCCTGTTGTCCCTAATGTCCTTGGAAATGTGTTCCCAGAAACGGTTACTTTTGCTAAATCTGATCGGAGCTGGCTAGTTTTCCTCTGCTGCCTTAGAGATTTGCTCTAAGTTTTGAAATGTTTTAAAATTTATGGGGTCATAAACTTACTGTGACATATAAAATCATTTTAAAGTGATGACAATCTTTAAAGAGCGGTTTAAGGTTTGCAAGCAGAATGCATTAAACAACAAAAGTCTGAAAGTCTCGGGAAATTTGTTTAAAAAATTTAGGGGTTATTTTAAAAATATTATAAAAATGTTTTATTTAAAAAAAATATATAATTTTCTTAAATTACAATTAAAAGCTTACAGAAATATCTTTCACACAATTTTAAGCAAAAATCCGTAAAAATTTGTTTGCAAATTTCATCTTGTAGCTCTCTAGAATACGAAAACAAAAATAAACCAATTTGCCAGCCATTTCGTAAATCTCTAGAAATCCCCTCGAAAGAGATTACAAGAACGCGCCGCTTTGAATTTTGAGCGAGTGCGTGTCCAGCCTAAAAGGGTATTATATATGTGCTGGTCCCGGGCATATATATGGTATACATGTTCTTTGGAGCGTTTGTGCGAGAGATGGCAATCATTAAAATGGCCTTTTGCCTAATTTCTATGACTTGCTTAATTATCACAGCCATGACCGACCGAGTCCTCCCCTGGGTACAGAAACACACACACTCACCCAACCCAAAACAGCATTAAGCTTCTAATAATTGAACATTTGACCCGCTTTTCGTTATTATTTAATTGCATTACGAGCCGAGCTCTTGGCGACGTCCATAAGTAGGCTATAACGTATTTTATTTCGCCGCTCGTCGGAATTGAAATGGGTGGATGGGGATTGGGATCGGGGACTTCGAGTTCGGTTCAATGAACTGGAGACTCTGTGGGCCGAATGCAAAACAAAAGCAAATGTCATTCGGATAAGTATATGTATATGGCCTGGCTTAATTTCCAATGCTCTCGGCTTTTTGGGCAAAGATAAAAGGCGTTGGGTAACATTTTTAATTACTTTTTACCGCAAACAGCTGAAAAAAAGACGGAGGGGGAAAGCGAAAAAAATACAGAAACAAACAGAAACGTATTAAAATACAATTCTTAATGAGCATTATGGCCATGTAATAAACAGCAGTCAAAAAAAGGAAAAGAGTATATATTGTATATATGGTTGGCTGTGCTGAGTGCAAAGCGCAATAAAAGCCCTGCGATTTTAATCAGTCGCAAGGACTGCAAAGTAGGCAATACTTTTGTGGCCTTATTTTTATGTTGTTACCATTATTACGCGGATGGGAATGGCATAAGAGCGGCCTGTAATAACGGACATTAAGTATTTCTATGTATTATATAGACGCCCTCAACTAAAACTAATTACAATGTAGAGACTGCGGAGATGGCGCGAGAATATGATTAAAGTTTGCCGGGTCGTCGTCTCTCAGTCAGCGAGAGACAAGGGCTAAATTAAAAAATGCTGCGGCATCTCTTTCTTAACTTGGTCAAAAGGGGTGGTAGAGGGTGGTAGGGGTTGGTAAGGGAGGAGGTTTCCAAATGGGCGCAACTTGAAGGAGGTTTTTATAATCAGCTAGAGCAATAAAATCTACGAGCACGGCCAGTGTTCAGGGGGCGTATGATTTATTTTTGATATTAAATCTTTAAATTGGTTCTGCCGAAAGGAGCAACTGGGCTGCTTCCAAGATGAAAGGGGCAATTATTCAACTATTTTGATTTAGAGAGCACCGAATAATCTTCATATAAATGGGACTATCTACAGAAACTTATTAAGATAGCTATCTACGAAATGGAAAAATCACTTTTTTCGCTGCTACCTTTTATTTAAAAACGGTTAAACATTTTCAAGCGTTATACTGGAGATTTCTGACCATTTAATTACCATTCCACTTTGCCTATCAGTTAATTTGAAGTACATTTTTTATTTCCCCATTCGAAAGCAGTAAACACACATCCTTTGATGAGCAGTTTGGAGTGCTGTCTGCGTCGTTTAGCCGTACATCTATCTGCCCATTCATGCATCCAGCTATCCAGCCATCCAACCATTGGACTGAAAAACAAACCCACTTGCAGCCTTTGAATGGCACTAGCCGCCGCTCGAGTGCCGTTCAATGCCGAGGAGTAACTTCCTCGAGAGGGGCTCCGGCCCATCCCGTATTGATCTAAATTGAATGCTGCTTGAGCTTGGAGTGCCCAGACATTCTGCTAGTGGAGCAGTAAAAAGAAATCCCCAAGCCAAGCCAAGCCAAATCCCAATCCCATTCGCAGGACTATAAGCTGTATATATCCGAGCAACGGAGAGCAGACGGCAAACAAGCTGACCGCATCCTGCAAACAAACTAGAGACTGAAAAGCTGTTGCTTCGGCTGCCTCGATGGTCAGGCTCGTGTATAAATATCGGAATAAGCATTTGAAAATCCTTTTAAAATTATTTCACAACTTGCGTCTTTTCGACGTCAAGCCAATGTCCTGCCAGAGGACAGTCTTCCAGAGTCCAGCTACCAGCTCCTGTTTCCCCATTATCCTTCCATTCCAAGTATGTGCAAATTCCATTGCAAAGCCACATTATTCCTTTTATCCTTGCGAAAGGAATTTTCCAACTGCAATAACAACCGAGAGAGGGACAGAGAGAGAGCGAGACGGCGAGGATACCATACCAATGTCCTTTTTCCAACTTCTTTGTTTGTTTGCTGTGAAATGTGTGTTCAGTTCTGGGCACTGGCTTCGACTTTAAGTCGGTCAGGTACGCGCCTAATGCCAAGAAAAAATATCAAAAAAATAACAAGGCCTGGACAAAATATTTAATACTCTTGCAGCGTACTCAAAAGTCTATTTTCGAGAGGCTTAGAACCAATACTTCGAGTTTAAAAAATATGTGATGAAATATGAAACCTTTAAATATTTTTCTGGCACAACTAACTTAGAATTTGAATTTTATGTGCTATTCTCGGCATAAATATTTTCTTTCTATTAAACAAAGACCGTTCTAAAACCTTTGGAACTTTGTTATAAAACCTATGGATCACTCAAAAACACTAAGGTATACGTTTCCCTCTCAATTGTTTTGCTGTTTTGAAAACTGACAGGCTTGAGAAAAAAACAAATACCCTTTTGTCAGAGTATCGAGCATCCTTCGGGGGCAGAATGTTGAACAATAGAAAAATGCCAGAGAAAAGTGAGCAATTTCGATGTGTTTTTTGTGCTGTGGACTCACCGCTTCGACTTTCTTGAATACACGTATTAGATTCCTGCCAGCCAACTTGGCAATATCCTCCTCCGACCATTTATCAGACTCGAGCAGGGCGGCAAAAAGATGCGGATATTTGGACACATCCTCCAGTCCTTTGGGCACTCTTAAGTGGAAAGCGGAGAGCAGCAGAGAGAAAGCGGAGAAAGTCGGGAAAATAGAGAGAAAGGGACCATAATTTGGCAAATGAAATGAAATGTAATTGAAGCCGCAGTGCATCGCTGGGCAAAAGTTGCCGTACTTACAAGTTGACTCCGTCGTAGCCAGCTCCAATGCCCACATGATCGATGCCGGCCACCTCCCTTATGTGGTTGATATGCGCTAAAGGGGCGGGCGAACGGGAAAAGCACAAGTTTAAAGATTAATAGTGCAAAAGGGCCGGGAAAGCCCCGCATGGAAAACCACCACCTACCCACAACATCGTGCAGTGTCGCCTGTCCCGAGCAGCTGACGAAATGCGGATAAAAGGCGACCATAACCAGACCGTCGTTTAGTGCCTGCATTGGATATGGAATGGGAATCGCAATTGGGGTATATGGATTAATGTGAGTGAGCCCCCGAAAATTAATGTCGCCTTAATGGACTCACAATGCGTTGCAGGACATGATCGGGAACGTTGCGGGAACTGTTGCAGATGGCGTGCGCCGAGGAGTGCGAGAATATTAGCGGGGCGCTCGAGGCCGCCAGAGCGTCCAGCATCGTGGGCACCGACACGTGCGACAGATCAACAATCATGCCCAGTCGGTTCATCTCCTTGACCACCAGCTGTTCGATAAATAATTGGGCATTTTTTAGTATTTCATGAACTATACTATCTCGGGGCTGAACCTCTCACCTTGCCGAACTGCGAGAGGCCGCCTATGTGCGGGTACTTTCCCGGTTCGTCAACTTTGCAGCAGTCCGCCCTGAAAATGAAACGGAAATGTATATTAAAATAACAATTTAAAAAAAAAAATTAAATAAATAAAAAATATTTTGAAGGTTAGTATACTGATTTTTTTAAGACGAAAAATACGGATTAAAATTTTTGTCAAATATATATATATTTTAAAGGTTTTTCACTCGGTACTTGGTCAAATCAGGATCTAAAAAGATAGGAACTACTGTTTTGAGCAGCTTACAACCTAAACTAAAGAAAAATAAATTTTTTTTACCAATTTTCCCATTTTTTGTAAGGGGTTCACAATCACAATTTTTTTCAAAAAATGCCAATAGGTTGTGAATTTAGTTACGAGATCATCGAGGTTTGACAATCCCTAAACTGATCTTTTTTTCGAAAATTTTCGGCAAAAAATATAGATTTAGACTGGAAATTAAGGATCTTAACAAATATTTTAAAGTAATTTTTCGATATTAATTTTTGTAGATATTTAATGATTTATTTTTCAATATTCTGCTGCACTTACCAAGGTGTATTGCAGGTGTGAGTGAGAGTCAAGTATCTGGCGCCCAGTTGGTAGAACATTCGCAGGACACTCAGACTGGTGCCGATGGCATGTCCGCCCTCCACGCCAATCAGACTGGCGATCTTCCCTGTCCGATGGGTCTGTTCGATGCCCGAGGCCGTGGTGACCAGCGCCATGTGATGCGGATAGAGGTTGACCAGTCGCCGGATCAGGTCGATCTGCTCCAGCGTCAGCTGCACTGCATCCAGATGCTGCGACGAGCAGGGGGCGTAGGCGGACCAGAACTGGGCCGAGACCATGCCCTCCTTCAGCCGGCGCAGATCCGTGTGACTCCAGGCACTCGACGACCAGGGAGCCAACTCGCGCAGGTCGCCGCCAAAGTGAAAGTCCTTCAGCTGGTTCTTCAGGAACTTGCGGATATTCCACGGCAGATCGTTGTGCCCGTCGATAAGGGGCACTTCCTTCAGGACATTCCGCACCCGCTGCATCCGGTAGTCGAAGTCGTCGGCGGTCTTCGAGCCCCCCCCTCCACCGGCACCGGACGCCCCTGCTGACGCCGCTCCGGCCGAGCATCGCAGGATGGGCAGGACGAGCGGGAAGTAGACAAAGGTCAAACAGTTGAGGCCACAAAGCACGAAGCCCTTTGGCAGCTTCCGCGATTTCATTGCCCCCGAGCGGCACGGAGCTCTAGTGGAAGAGCACACAATCCGCAGCACTCACATTGATGATGTTTCGCCTTCTAGCTGGAAAAAAAAAAAATAAGTAACATTTTTTGTTATTCATTTTTAGAAGGAAAATATATGTTACAGAATTTATTTTCTGCTTTGCTTTATTAAATATTTTAAATTAAAGGTCTCTTAAAAAGTAATTTCAAAATAAACAGGAAAACAATTGTAAAATCTTCACAAAAAAGATTAAATTAATATTCTATCAACTCTTTCGTTATTCAAGCACAAAGAACTTGCTAAATAATATCCACAAGCCGCAGCGACACTATTGAAATATTATTTTTAACCTTAAGCAATCTTAAATCTGCAAACTTTCGTTCTTTGCTTTCTAGAAAGGGGGTTCCATTTCCCCATATCATCTGGTGGCTCAAAGGCGGGGAATTGGTTTAGCCTATTGCATGTGCGGGTGGCGTGATTGAGCTATTGAAAGTTGTTGGCAAACAAATGTCATAAATATAACGCCCACGGCTGTGCTACCGAATAACCCCGGCTCCTGACCCCGAACACAAACCGAGCCCCAAAGCCACGCCCCCTTTTGCCTCTCGCCTGGCTTTGCCGCCCCCCCACAAACATAAATAAAACTTTTCATATTTATTTCAGAGCCCAACTTCAAATCGAAATCGCGCACAAAATGCATAAAATGCACAATAAAAATGCAAAATTATTTATAGCAAAGTTTCCTCTACATTTATTCGTTTTTTTCGCTTTTTTAGCCAGCATATCACCGAACCCCAAAAAAGAAATCATAGAAAATTTAAATAGTTTCCCCTGCAGTTCGGTAGAAAAGTTCGAGGAGAGAAATACTTTATCCGTACGATTTTATTTTGGTTGTTTTTTATTCGCATACGACATAAACTTTGGCTTGAGCCTGGCAGGTGGCGGAAAACTAAGCGAAGAAGCCAGGGGAAAATCGAGAGAGCGAAGTTCTAAATATTTCCCCAAGAAATTGAAGCCCTGTTTGGTTTGGCGAAACGGGCCAAGTGGGTAAATATTTATATATTCTTTGTCCCAGAAAGTGAAATTAAAGTTTTGCCCCGAAACAGGGAAACTAAGCTAAACTACTTTAATAGTTTTCAACGCAAAACTCGGCCAAGAAGTGGAGCAATGTAATGGCCAAAACGAAATGGTAAGCTGGGCAAATGGAAATGCTTTGCCAACTTGGCAAAGTCCCACAGGTTAGGTAAATAAGTACAGGTAAGGGATGTGTTTCCTTTTGTCAACAATACTAGTAAGTAATCTATAAATACACAATTTATCTTTCAAAATTTAATATTTCGCTTAAAAATTATAAAAAATGCCGTTAATGTAGAAAGCATTTTCCATATAAATTCCCAATAGACTACTTTATCTAATAATTGTAACCATAAAGTGAGCTTTAAAATCCCCTTCGCTCAAAGATTAAACAAGAAATTGTATACTTCTTGTGATTATGTTAGCACTTGGTTCCATTTTGAACTTTTTCCATTTTTTTGTCCCCTTATTTTTCCATTTTCATGTGCCAACTGTTGGTGTGCACTCTGCAGGTCACAAGGAAATAGGAGAAGAATTGCGAGCGAGGGGCCAGTGGCATCCGCATGTTGATTTTCATGCTCTGATGCCTGCGAACAAAATGAAAACATTCCACTACGGAGGGAACTGGGCTGATATCTCTTATCTGCTTCTACATTTCCTCCCATTTCTGCAACTGATTATGGATTCGGTTTCTTCGAGCTTCGATTTTCCGCCTCAGCATATACACACTTTTTGCCTTGTTTGGCACAATCCTTAAGCTATCTGGCCAAAGCAGAAATTATGCAAAAATCAACAGAGTCAACGATGAGCAGGAAATGACAACATTGACAAGGGCAACGCGCCACGAATATTTTGCGACATGCAAAACGTGACTGAAACGCAACGCACGAATTATTAATACAACAACAGCGGAGAGGAAGCCAAATTAGACCCAGTTGGGTTAACAGGAAGCAAAGGACGAAGGACGTCGAAGGACGACAAACAAAAGTCGAGTCGAGTCGAGTCGGGTCTGTGAAATCGAAAACGTTTGGCGCTTCATTAAACATTGATGCCTTAAAACAAGCGGCATGCAAACCGAAATTAAGAGCCACAACATGGGATATTTAATTTAATTGAAGAGGTCCTGCTTACAGCTGGGGAAAAGTCAAGCGAAAGGCTGAAGTGAAAATGTAATGTAATCCTGGGATCAGGCATCACTTAAAGTGCATTAAATATTTTATAAACGGATGGGAGCAGTTCATCATCGAATGTCTATGGTCTTAATAATAATGAGTGTTTTGTCCTTGATTGTTAAGAAAATGGAGGTTACATTTTCTAAATATTATTGATTGGATTTAATAACCTTAACCAAAAATAAATTTTAATATATTTTAACATAGTTTATTGTACTTAGTACAAATAAGTTATATCAACCGATTTCAGAAGAATCGATAAATTGGATTTAGACACAGCTCGGCAAATCAGGTAGTGTGTAATTTAAGCCCTATTGAGGAATATTAAATATGACTGGTAAGTTAATAAATTGTATTCCTTGCTGTTCAACAGTGAGCGGCATACAATTGCAGAAGGAGGACAAAATGGGCGCAAGGATAACTGCGTGCAACGCTGCGTATGAGCAATGTGTGTGCGCCTGCCTTTATTTCATATATGCATTTCTTTTTTGTTGTTGAGTGGCATGCATGGGCGTAGGGATAACGAACGGAACGAACAGCGGGGGTTCGGGGGAAATGGCATATACGTATAAGGGACTGAATCGTACATTTATTGCAACATGAAACATTATTTTGTATGGCCTCAAAAAAATAACGAACGTAGGAAAGAAAAGGAAGCGCGGCGAAAGGGAAGTATGGGAAAAATGGGGGTGGGCTGGTTGGCTAGAAGAAGAAACCGGAGTGCGCGCGTTGGAAAATTGCAGTAAGGAAATGCGATGTCCTCGTTGCAGTTGGAATTTCCATGCAAAGTGGCAAGCAAATAAATATAAAAATGCTTTTCTTTTCTACATTAGTGCACCATTTAAGGAAGTCGCCACGCCCCCTTCGCCCCAGCAGATATTGCACGGCGAGTTTGTCGTCTTTCATTTCATTTCCATTTCCATTTTCCCCCACAACTCCAGAAGCCGAAGCGGCAAAAAATAAAGGAAACGTGCCCGTAAACTACGGCAGACAATCAAAATGCATTCATGTGCGCTTACTTTACGTTATTTATAATCAAAGCCCCTCGCCCCTCTTCCCTCCCAAAGTCCCTTTTCATTCAGCTCTAAATTCCATTCACTAGCGAATTGTAGCAAACAGTCAATGCGAAAAAGCACCCAACCACCCAAACAATTTTTTCTTCTTCCGAGGATTGGGTGTTCCAAGGGGTCTGGGGATTTGTGAGCTCGGCAGGAATGCCGCCACCCAGTGTGATAAGGTTTCCCACCCATAATGCTCAAGTTGCTTGAGGCCATACTGGAATTCTCTCCGGTTTATGCTTATTCAATTTTACAAGGATAATAAAACGTATCATTAGAAGTCTCGGTAGTAGCAACGGATCACATGACCAGACAAAGCCCCTTAAAAAAGGAGGGGGAAAAACATATTAATTCCTAGAAGATTATTTTCCAGAACTATGAGCAAGAAAATTACTGTTTACGGATACGGGAAAAATGGGATTACGTCTCATTAATTTTAGTGAGTATATTCTTTAAACAATTTACTTTTATGATCGTTGGAAATTTAAACAGGTGGAGGAAACTCTGTATCATATTTTACCACCATAGCAATTTTTAAGCCTTTCAATACAATTGACCCATTTATAAAGAAACTTAAAATTTATATTTTTCGCCATTTTTTTCCCACAGCCGTTAAGAGCATCAAAATACCACACTGTTAAAATGTTCATGATATGGAAACTTTTCCACATGCATATTTGCATAAATTAATAGAACGGACGCTTGGAGGCAAAATGGGACTCATATGGCGAAATAAAATTAAATTAGAAATACAAAAGGAATATAATCAAACTTTAACAAGGATCTCTGTGTTTGTTTCGGTATATTGTGTTTCTCTCGTTCTACGCACATTCCGGTTGGTCCGTAAACAAGCGAAACTGAACAGGGAAAATTCAATGGGATTTTTTCGAGGACCGGAAAAGCGGCAACAACAAACCGCACAAATACCCGTGCCAACGGAATGACAACCGGCCCAGAGGCATGCGGAATGGCCTTAGAATGAATTGAAATTATTTTACAACATTTTCATGTTTCTTGCCATTTGTTTGATTTGCCTCGACCTTCGCTTTCAGGTCTCCCATTTATTGTTTTTATTTCTCCTTTTTCTTTTTTGTGTGCATAATTTATGCTCGAGTTGAAGCCAATTGCAGGCGTAAGAATCAAATGAAGCCCTTAAAAAAAGTTCTGACCCGAAAATAAAACGACATATGTTGTGGAATGCCACAAGTAATCAGCCAACGAATCGCCACAACAGATGTCCAAATAATGAGAGGTAGAGCAAAAAATTAAAGAGCGATTTCTGTATTAAAATACTTTAAAAGCTTGAAATATAAATATAAAAAATATAAAATAGTTCAATAATTTTTATTAACAATAAAAAAATTAATCTGTTATTACATTCAAAGCAATCCTTTCCCAAAATGAAATATAAAAATAAATATTGTGGTCGTTTTCCCCAAAAACATTTTTGCCGAAAATTCCAATCAAATATCTTAGGAAATTGTGTAGAAAGTAATTAATTTCCAATCGCAAAGTGCGTCATAGAAATTACGTTCAGCATTTAATTGAACTCATTCTCGGAATAGCTTTGCCAATCTGGACTGACAAATACTCGGAAAACGCAATTTGTACCATTTCAAGAGAGATTCTTGGTCCAAGCCACAAAATTCAAACTGCCAGAGACCATAAACACTTTGTCCCAAGACCAAGACTAAAAATGAGACGAGCCAAAGGTAAGAAGCATTTATAAATGCCACAACAAAAGCTAGAGAAATGTGAGCCGGAGTCTGGGTTAAATTTTGGGTTTACGGATAGCCGTAGCTGTAGCTCCAGGGGCGTGGCCAAAGGGGGCAGGGGGTGTAAAGAGGACGGATAAAGTTCAAAGCAAATTGTTGCGGAAGGCAGGAATCAACATTATCATCAGCAGCCAGGATGCTGCTCAGTCGGTTATAGGATACTCATTCTCATTCTCATTTCGGGGCAAATGCAGATGAGGACGAGACAAAACACAGACACAAATCCAGAGGAGGGGGAGGATTTTCCGAGTGTGTGTATTGGAGGGCGGGAGTGGCAAGGGGGTGTGTTTTGTGTCGCCTGCCGCATATTAATGAGCCAAATGCCACAAAGCCAAGCTAAACGCGCTCTCATCAATTGCTCAATATTATGACTCTGGAGGGCAGAAATCTGCATATGAAACCCATATTCGTATGTACACTGAATACTCAGCAAAAGCCGGAAAAACTATTTTGCATTCTTAGCTGCACACATTCTTTCGCTTTTTTTGGGTACTTTCTAGTTGAAGAAAAAAGGATCCTACATTTCTACTTAAATTTTAGATAGAAAATTCTGCTATGTTCAAGCAGCTTTAAAGAGAAGAGAAATAAATACTGCTAAAACAAAATTTGGGTAAATTATATGAACTGCTATAAAAATCATTCATGTAAAATCTTTCCAAAATTAACCATTAAATCTTTGGTTTCAGAAATGTAAGTGGTTCATATCATTAAAAAATTTAATTTATTTCTTTTTATTGGTTGTTATTTAATAAAAACCTAAATTATGTTCCATTTCATATATATTATACTTTATTTTTTGGAACAACTAAATTCATCATTAAATACAAATCATATAAAATACATACCCTTAAATGTTTCTGCTTAAAAACATTACCTAATTGAACTTAAATTTTCCTACAATCCTTAATATTAATAAAAACCTAGTCGTATTGAGTTTCTTACCAAAACTGGGCAAACAATTTATCATTCTTATGGCCCACAAGTTCACTCTATTTTTCCGTACTTTTTTTCAACAATTTAATATGAGTTAAATCACTGCTGGTGCTTGTGAAATTCTGGCTTTTTAGGCACTCTCCAACTCTCCGGCTCACATAACTATAATAATCAGATATTATTTCGCCTTTGGCTGCACCACAATACGTAACGTAACGTATACGCCGCGGTGTACGCGGGTGTGACGCGAAGGAGACGCGCAGCGCAAGTGGAACGCAACACGTGTTGTTGGCGACAGGTGCCGAGCGTTTGGCACACAACTCGACCGGCCGACGCACGAATTCGAACTGAAAGCTGAACCAGAATCAGAATCCCCAAACGAAACTGGGAAGCGAGTGAGGCAGGCACCAAAAACCGAAACCGAATAAGGACGAAGGACGAAGCCACGAGGTGCTGAGAGCAAGGACAGCGAAGAGCACTTGGGCCAAGATTTCATTATTAGGTAAGAGCAGTTTGGTTAATTTCCATTAAATTTTTCTTTGATTTTAGTTTGGGAAACTCTTATATCAAGTATCTATAAACTATTTGGAAATTCTCTAAAAATATTCCAAGGAGAAACCCTGATTTTCAGTCAACATTTTCATTCAGAAATCTGTGCCAAGTGCTAACTAAATTCAGAGCAAGTCCTTTTAAAGAGCATTTCGTTCTCTTTCGTTCGATAGAGAAATAATGGGATTTTTTCTCTAAGCAGGCGCTCTCAATCAGCTGTTTCGAGTGCCAGGGGGTTGAGTCCTTTAACATTGCAGGAGGTCAGGCATGGCGTGAAAGTCGCTTATCCTAGCTGCTGCTTCTGCCACCCTTCGTTTTTGTTGCGCTGCCTTTGGAACGCCTGATGCTGATGGTCACGAAAAATTCATTGACCGCTCCAAGTAAAGCAGGTCGCTAGTAATTAAGCGAAAAATACACCAAATTAATTATTCCTCTTCATTTTAAACTAGTAAATCGTTATAAGGGGAGTAAAATGCGGTTGACAAGCTATTTTAGGAAATATTTTGTTTAGATTGCTGTATTTTAATTAAATTTGAGATATAGAATAGAGAATATAAATAGAATTTCGTCACAGGTATTGTCGATCAATCGAGTCGATGAGATTAACCCAATATTATTTAATGAGATTAATTGAAAGGATTTCTTAAAATCAGATAATCAGATTTGTTTTCTAATTCCCTCAGTTAAAGTGTATGTACTTAAGATACGAATCTAATTTTTACTATTCTAAAAATAGTTTCCAACTCATTGGGCTTCTTATCATGAATATAATTTCTAGTTTTAGACGATTATAATATTTTCATGAGTCTATTAACTCCTTGAAGCATTTCCCCAAAATAAAAATTTTAAAATTTAAAACCGCGCAATCTAAAGCTAAAGCAGTTCAAAGCTATCCCCCAAGTTGTAGCTTCTTTTATCATCATCCATAAGGTTTCTTCACCCACTAAAAGCTCCCCTTGCGAGCTTTATTTTGGATGCCTTCCGTTTGGGGATCTGGGAATTTTTAGCGCTTGGCTCAGTCGGTTGCCCAACACCGCCGGCGACGACCTCTAAACAACCTTTTGGGGTCTCGCTCGCCATGTCTCGCTTATTTCGCTTTGGAATTTCACGTTGACGGCGCCGTCGCAGTCGCAGTCAGCGGTAGCAGAGCCATCGGCAGAGGCAGCAGCGACTCGATTCGAGCTGAAAATAAAAGCGTTAACCGCTCTCCTCCAGTGCAGCAGCAGCAGCGGACCCAGCCAGTAGCCAGCAGCTAAATCACCACATCCCAGATTCAGTTTCCAGTTCGGTGAGTGGGCGTGATAAAGTGGAAAAAAGAGTACAACCCCCTGAGAAAAAAATAATTCAGTTATATATCTAGTAAAAAAGCCCCGAAGATCTGTTAGTGCAATTGAAAAGTCGCGTAATCGTTCCCATTTTTCTCTGGGCTGTTTCGTAATCCAAATTTACAGAATCTGTAAGCGTGTGAGTGAGTGCGTAGTTTCGAATTTATTTCCTCGTGCTCAAAACTCTTATGACAAGTTCTAGAACCTTGGGGTTTCCGAGTGTTGTTGACCTATGCACCGTAAAAAAAAAGAGTGGGGGCAACGGGAACTGCAGGCGATAAGAAACCTTATCGGGTGACTTTTGAGCTCTCGAAAGTAGTTTTTCTCTACCGGCTCAACCGGCTCTCTCTCTTTTAATATTTTTCATCCTATCCCCACTCGCTCTTCCAATTGAGTTCATTTGCTTATTGGCAAAGTTTCAACTGCAATTTGTAGTCGCCGCTGCGGTTTTTCTTTATAAATAGTTGGCGCAAATGTTAAATGTATGTACTATGCATCGGGAAATACATACATTTTCGTATCTTTCCTAGAACTATTCAATTAGCCAACGTCATCGTAAATTCCTCGGTTTGTTGACGTCTTCTCTTCTTATTACACCTTAGTTTATCCGTCTTTATCCATTGCACTTTTCATTTACCTTTCAGTGAATGAGCAAGAGACGTAATACAATTCGGAATAGGTGGGGAATAAATACACACAAAGAGGGATTTACTCAGTAAAGAGAAAGAGAGGCACACGTTTAGGGGTTGTTTTGAATGGAACCTACAGATGTACAGAAAAACGAGTTCTGGAGTGGCAAGGACTTCTTTTGAAGGTCAACAGCAGATACCTGTTAAGGATACGCAAAAACAATATTTCATAAAAACAATAATCTATTACCATCACATATATATTTTCAAAAGCTTCTTTACTACTTGTAAATTACATGATAATCTCTCTGGGTTTCATAATTCAGTTTATAAGTTTTTATAAAAATTAAAAAACAATTTCACTGCGTAACACAGAGATGTAATAGATCGATAAAGCTTACTATCGTATAGAACTAGATAAGAACTTATTGGTATATCTCATAACTTGTATTTATAGCAGCGGTCGGCACACTCATACAATTACATTTTGTTTTATATTTGTGTGAGTAAATTGTACGGGTCAGCTTAACAGTGTATGTGCGCAGACCGCTGTTCTACAGTATACGTGAGAGGCACTGAGATGAGCAGAAAAATTTCCTATGCTCACTTAATAGGACGCTGCCGACCGCTGATTTATAGACCCGATAGTATAGCAGTTACCAAAGCTAAATTATTGGGGTCACATAAGAAGGGCAAGGAGTACGTGCTCACTCCAAAGTTCCCTGCCACAAAAATTGTTTTTATATAAAATAGGTTTTACCACACATGTTTACCGTTAATCGCTTGACGTCAGTTCGTAGTTTTTACTTCAGTAGTAGTTTGTATTATCTCCCCATGTAGATGTTCTTTTGACCCACTGTCTGCCTTCGAGGAGGCCGGACCTAAAATCTCGTTATGATAATGCGAAACCTTTGGAACCGCCCGTGGGGGCTCGTTTTTTTCGGTCGGTTTTCTATTCAAAATTTCCACTGATAGCAGATACAAAATGCGGCTACCAGTCGAACTTGTTTGTTCATCTTTCCGGAGCAACTTCTACCATATTCCATGACACTTATTCGACTCTCTATACATTTTGTTGGTCGATTTTTTTATCAGCTTGTTTTTGTACAAACACAACCACACATATAGACTGACATGTGTCGGTTTATTTTTATACACTGTTTCTTGATAGCAACGTAAATTTATTTTGATTGTTTTTTGTTGTCATGCGTTGCCTGTTGTGCTTTTCGTTCCTCTTTACTTTTTATTTTTTGTTCATCGTATATATTTCGCCTAGTTTTCGAAACTTTTTAGTCTTCGATTGATTGCCGGCAAGTGTAGGTGGGTGTTGTCTCTCTGAGTGAAGCCGGAATAGATATAGATAACTCATCCTATAGATAAAAATGTGTACATAAAATAATAGAGTGATTTAGTGCCGTTTTAAGAAATTTTGACGAATATCTTTAATGAAATTATATAAAAATTTGTTATAATATTTATAATATCTTATATGAATTGTTGATATAGGCTTAAAAAAAGTTATACACAAAAAAAATCACAATTTTAAATTATTTTATAAGTATCTGTCAGGTTATTATAAAGATATCTATTCAATCTCAATCGCAAGTTTTTCACGTGCATGCCAAGTGTCAAATATATGGCGTGGGAAATCTAGGTGATGCGGTAAACAATATATTTTGTGATAAGTTGCGGTGGTTCTAATCTATAGCCTGACATTTATGCCATTCCAGTCCTTGGCTCACTGTCAATGTCAAACAAGTAAAACCCGAGTTTTAGTCATCGCAGAATATTTCGCATTTGTATCTACATATTGCTAGATAGTCCTCGCTCTCATTCGCACTAGCTATAGCTATCTCTATCTCTATCTTTCACACGCGCCACACGACTTTCGGTTTTCAACAATTTCTATTCGCGTTTCGTAAGGCAACAAAATTTCGCTAGCAACATGTGTTGCTCACAGCCATTGCAACATTGTTGCTTGACCTTGTTCAATGTCAAACAGAAATTCATGCGCCCTCCGCTGACGTCGCTGCCGCCGGGGGCGTCGACTGAGGCAGCGCTGTGGCAGCGATAATAAAAGTAAAAGTTTCCACGTCACGCATTATGCGGCTGTGAAAGAGAGAGGCATATGCGGTGAGAGCGAGAGGGAATACTCCATGACTTCGATTACATCAGAGGGAATTATTTCCGAGGTTTCCGTGACTTTGCTCAGTTACTAAAAATTCATCGTCGAGGTTGGTTCGCTTTTTCCCAAATTCGGTTTTAGCAAATAGTTGGAACAATTAACAGGCTTTGAAAACAGTTCAGAAATTAACAGTTCCCAACTAAAAATAGTGAAGTGAAATATTTTTTAAAAATAACTAAAAAGGATTTTCTTTGAAACCAAATAAGTTTTATTAAAGACTGTGGTAGTCTATTAAAAAGGAAACATTTTGTATGCAAATGTTGATAGTGGGAGGATAGAAAAAGTGAGAGAGAAGGCAATAGATATAGAGAAAAGAGAGAAAAGCACGTTTTTGGTGCATGCGCCTTTAATCTCGTTCAATTGCTCGCTCTTCGCTATCAAATCAGCTGTGAAAAACACTAACATGCAAAACATTTATTATCTTCAATGGAAAAAATTTTTAAATTGGAAAAAATACGAGTGACATTGACCTGACACTGAACATGTGATGATATAATTTCGGAACAACAATGTGATATGATATCATATGAACGTGAAATTATGTTTATTAAACATTTTTAAAGGATATTATAAAAATTATTTTTTCATTAAATTTGTAATAGGATTTTTTTCAATTGAGGAAAATTATTTGTTGACAAATAATTATAAAATAATAATAAAAAGTGGGTCAATATCAAAAGGTAATCCTTTGATTGATAGCTGCCCCATTAGCCAGTGTTATCTATAAATTTTCCTTCAAAAAAACATACAAGCCTTTGGGTTTTTAGTCTTGGCCCGTCAAACTGTTTAGATACTTTTTAGAAAGTTCTACCAAAATTCCTAGTTTCCTCTTTCCCTAAAAAGCCTTCAAAATTCTTCGTTTAAGCAATGGATTTTTACTTTCAAAGCCGCTTTCATATCCCCTAGTCAAATTACTAACAGGCAATTTCCACTCTTCTTATTCTTCCACCATAAATCCACCTTTGGCGATTGGAAAATGGATTCGCGTCCTGCAGAACTACACTCGAATCTCAAAAATGACCACCTACTTCAACTACCCCAGCAAGGAGCTGCAGGATGAGCTGAGGACCATCGCCCAGAAGATCGTGGCTCCCGGCAAGGGAATCCTCGCCGCCGACGAGTCGGGCCCCACCATGGGCAAGCGTCTGCAGGACATCGGCGTGGAGAACACCGAGGACAACCGCCGTGCCTACCGTCAGCTGTTGTTCAGCACCGACCCCAAGCTGGCCGAGAACATCTCCGGCGTGATCCTGTTCCACGAGACCCTCTACCAGAAGGACGACGCCGGCGTCCCCTTCGCCGACATCCTGAAGAAGAAGGGCATCATTCTGGGCATCAAGGTCGACAAGGGTGTCGTGCCACTGTTCGGCTCCGAGGACGAGGTGACCACCCAGGGCCTCGATGACCTGGCCGCCCGTTGCGCCCAGTACAAGAAGGACGGCTGCGACTTCGCCAAGTGGCGTTGCGTGCTGAAGATCGGCAAGAACACCCCGTCCTACCAGTCGATCCTCGAGAACGCCAACGTTCTGGCCCGCTACGCCTCCATCTGCCAGTCGCAGCGCATCGTGCCCATTGTGGAGCCCGAGATCCTGCCCGATGGCGACCACGATCTGGACCGCACCCAGAAGGTCACCGAGACCGTGCTGGCCGCCGTCTACAAGGCGCTGAGCGACCACCACGTCTACCTGGAGGGCACTCTGCTGAAGCCCAACATGGTCACCGCCGGTCAGTCGGCCAAGAAGAACACCCCCGAGGAGATCGCCCTGGCCACCGTGCAGGCCCTGCGCCGCACCGTCCCCGCCGCCGTCACCGGTGAGTCCTGATCATTGATTTGGGTGGGGAAAGGGGTGTCTTTATAGTCTTTGGAGATTGGTAGATTTTGTTAGAATTTATTAGAGTTTACCTTATATAAGGAAACTGATTTATAGGTGAATGCTAAGTGCATTATTATATTAGTAATTTATTTAGATTTATTTCTAAAGATCATTTTGACACCTCTTCTAGACTGAAATTAATTTTCCTCTATATCCTCCTATTCGAACACTTTCTAATCGATTTTCCCCCGCAGGCATTACCTTCCTGTCCGGAGGTCAGTCCGAGGAGGAGGCCACCGTCAACCTGAGCGCCATCAACCAGGTGCCCCTGCTCCGCCCATGGGCCCTGACCTTCTCCTACGGCCGTGCCCTCCAGGCCTCCGTCCTGCGTGCCTGGGGTGGCAAGAAGGAGAACATCGCCGCCGGCCAGAACGAGCTGCTTAAGCGTGCTAAGGTGAGTCTTTGGATAGTGCTTCCTATATAGCATTTGGTAATAGTTAGTCATTTAAGTGGTGAAGTTTCTTATGCTTCGGAAGGAATGTATGGCCAGGGTTTATTGGTTTAAGGAATATTATTATTAAGGCTGTATAAACTGCTATCCCAACCATCGATCCCATTACCAAAACCTAACCCTAAAAGTATTCCTTACCTGAACCATCTATCGATATCATTATCAAAGCTTAATCACTTCAAAATTCTTTTCCATTGAACTTTACCTTTAATCTTTTTACGATGCCGAATTCATTAACTCCTTATCGAGCTCTTACTCATTTTACAACGATGATATAATAACTAACTTATTCATTTTTAATCTAAATTACCATTTATATTCATTTTCCTTTTTCAACCAATAATTTCATTACTTTAACCCAACCTAACCCCCATACTTAGGCGAATACACAGGCTGCTCTTGGTTGTTATGAGCCTGGATCTGTTAAAGGGTTCGATAGTGACGAAACTTTGCATGTGGACGACCACAAGTACTAAACAAAAAGCAATCAAGATTAAAATGCCAAAGAACGAGCTTTAATTTGGGTAAATTAAATAACTGGACTAGCTTTGAAGCTCACTATCGCATTTAACATACCGCTCTCACTTCCCTCATGCTTCGCTTGCTCTATACCTAATCTTACCTAATCCTCGAAAACCCCAAATCTGATTAATCCCAACCAAAATCCCGCTCTCCTCCCGCTTCCACAGGCCAATTCCCAGGCCTGCCAGGGAAAATATGTGCCCGGCTCCATTCCGTCGTTTGCCGGCAATGCCAACCTCTTTGTTGCCCAGCACAAGTACTAAGTACCAAGTACCAAGTCCTCCATAAATGCCACGCACTAATCCCGAGTCAGATTCGAGCCATGCTTTATCCCAAGCCGAAGCTAAAGCCAGCTGCAATACGCAAAAGATACTGACCAAGGCCCAAAAGCTGGACTGAGACATTCCTCCAACAACGGAACTGCAAATATATTCCTTTTAGCCTATCGTATACCTTTTACCACATAAACTTTTATGATAAACTGACAACTGAAATAAATTATACATTTTATTTTGATACCTGATTTGTGAACCTTGATTTTATTTTATTTAGTTTACTATTTATTTTAAGTGTTTTTATATATTATATTTTATAAGTTTGTTTAATTTTTAGATCGCCAAAGTTTAATCGTTTACTTTAACAATCCAAAAGGTTTTGTACCTAGAACGCTTAGTATAACTTTATTTATGATAAGAAAACTTTTTGAAAGGCCCTCGCTAACTTTCCAGTGTTTATTAGTTAAAGTTTCGAATGTCTGTAGCCGACAGTTGAGCTGAAATTATATGGTAAACAAAAGCGCCCGTGCAATGAAAAATATGGTCAACTTTACGCCTGCCCCTCTACCGATTCCCAGCGCTATTATATGTAATCGAATCATAATTTTCCTGCAGGAGAACTTGCAAAATGAAATTTTCCAAAACTTTTTAGCGCTGTACGTAACATGTATTCGTGCGCTTGGATGCGTAAAAAGTTTCCTATAAAACTGCCGCAGGTGGCTGGGAAAAGTTTTTCGGTGTGCAGCAAAAATCAGTGCGAAAACTTTTCAAGCTGGGCGAAAAACTTTTCTGCTGCGGCTCGCCGAAGTTATAACTAAGTAATAATTAAGAGCAAGCGTTTGTAATTAGGACTAGTATTTTCCTGGATATTTCCCCGAATCTAAAATAACCAATTTTCCCCGATTTTCCTCTACCCTCGCAGGCCAACGGTGATGCTGCTCAGGGCAAGTACGTTGCCGGAAGCGCTGGTGCCGGATCCGGATCCCTGTTCGTGGCCAACCACGCCTACTAAGGCGTTTGGCAGGACCTTGTCTACACACAAACAAGCAGAAACGCAACTACATACAACTAACTACGAAGCAGATTGCTGGAAACGTTTGGCAGTTTTCTTTATTTTTTTGTCTTAGTCTCGAGAGCTAAGCAAAGCAAGCATTAAAAAAAACCAAAAAAAAAAAACAAAGAAGGATAACAATTTCAAAACATGTTATATATATGTAGTACGTCAAAATCTTTCAATTTAATTATATGCTAAAAATATTTTAGAGAACAACTAAATGATGAGTGCAGAAGAAGAAAGGAATGATTATGTTTGATGGAGAAGCAATTTTATCTTTAGTTTTAAGCACATGAACCTATTATTGTTGAAGTTATGAAATTTCTATTTTATTATTACTATGATTATGAAAGATTTCAATGTGAACAAGCTAAATATGTCGTAAATCGTTAAGTTAAAAACACATTTTATAGTGAAAACAACAGCAATCCACTATCAGCAACATCGAAAAATGTAAAAGTCTTGAGACATTGAAATCGCCCAACGTTTTATGAAATTTTTTAATATTTTATAAAAAGATCCTCTATGAAAACCAATGTTTTACCATTATTATTATTATTAAACTTTATATTTATGATCGATAAGTATAAGTGAAACAAATGACGCAAATAAACAAACACATTACAATAAACCCGAAAAGCCCCCAAAACAACTCAATTAACCATATATACTTATATATACACTGTTTAAAAACAATATGTTGTTACAAAAAACTAAAAAAAAAAGAAAATATTTTAAGCTGAACTTCAGCGTCCATTGGCTGTCAAACTGTGCAGGGGCACAGTGCTTGTTACACGATTGTTCAATTCCATCTGAGATCCTCTATCCAAAATCGATAGAAAGTAACAAGTTGCAGCAACGTCATTATCACAGTACATATTCACATACTGAAATATGGCTAACACACATATTTATCAAACACGTTTTAATTTATATGTTATTCAAGTTGCAAATTCTGCATATCGTTGTTAATCGCATACTTGTTTGAAGTGCAATGTGAAAATATTACAGACACAAACGAAGGATATATTATACTAACTGGAAGGATTAAGCTTAAAATAGTTTATTGTGAAATAAAAATGAAAAGTCACCACCACGAAACAGCAACAACAACCAGCTGTACAACCAATATACAAGAAATAAAACACAACAAAAAAAAGTAACCTCTGCAAAAAGGGTGTTGAGCTAACATCTTTCAATAAAGAACCTAAAGAGCAAAAAAACAAGAGTTGGTTTTATTTTTATTGTCTTTTTTCAAATAGCTTTGCATACCCTGAGGCGTGAGTTACAGTTTTAAAAGCATTGAGTGCTTAAGTCAGAGATACTAAATAGTAAAACGTATATGGTCTTTTAAAGTTTTTAAATAAAGATTATTCGGTGCTTTTAAATCATAAATAAATTAATTTTTATTCGTTTTAGATTAAAAATGGCAATGGCTTTTTATATTTTCCATATTTTCTTCCTTTTTCTGTACTTTATAATATTTATTCTAAAATCATTTTAAAAACTTTATAAACATTTTATTCAAAATCAAATTTAGCATTGCCTTGAGCATTTTTTATTGTCAAAAGTAAGGGACGGTAAACCTTAAGGTCAACGCAGAATCTGTATCCCACATTTCGAGCGTTTCGCGTAATTTAAATTTACAATTTCCTCCATTACTAATGCAAATGTAAGCACGGCGTGCAACAAGCGACGTAATCTGCACCGTGTTCCCTTTCCAATTCAATTTGTGGCATTCGCGGAGTGCAAAGTTCGTTTAATCGCACCCAAATCAAATGCACAATGGCCCAGACAGAGAGACTCGATGATAAGATGACACGGGCGTTTTTTAAAACCGGAGAGTTGAATACAAGTACACAGAAAAAATATTCAGTTTTAATATTTACAGCTCATTTGTTTTATAAAAGTTTTGATTTTATTTATACGTGGAGAAGTTTATACGTACATTTTTTAAATACTTTTATATATCATTATTTTCTCATTGCATTTTTATTCAGTTGATTTTTCCTCAGTGCAAAATTGATTGTTCGATTATGGTCAATTTAATTACGATTGTTTTTCGGTGAAAGATAGGAATGCCAATATTTATAACGCTGGGATGAACGTATTGTTTACACCATTGCGTCATTGGTTGTCTTCGATTGAAGACAATAAGGAAATTTTGAAATGTTTGTGCGGGTGCAGTGGCTCTTAAACTGTGCCGGAAATGTACCGCCCAGTTCTCGGGGTTAACTGCCACAAAGGGGGAGACCGGCAGGAAAATCCAACAAAGGTGCTGGCATTTGGCATCCTGATCCACAATGCCCGTGGCAGTGTCAACATTTCCTATGTCACGCTCACACTCTGGTACTCCCACCGACCTGCTGGCACAAAGATTGTCCACAAAAGTGGAATTAATTGTATTTGCATAGGATGTAAACATCATCACGTTGCCGGCAGGATCTCGTCCTGCAACGTTACTAAACTGGATTCTCTTTGGCTCGCAGCCTTTCGCCACCTTCCTGACACCCCAAACACTAAGGGAAACTGGGCTGTAGAATTTATGAGTCTAGATTTATGGGTCAAAAGAAGAGCTATTATTCAGTAAAATAAATAGGGTATGGGTTTTAAAAATTAAAAATAATATTTTATCGAAAGCCTGGTATTTTAGTTAGAAATTTATCCTGAAATTGAAATCTACTTTCTTTTAAATTATTTATTATTTATTCAACAGTTTCTGTGTAGGCAAGACTTTCAGTGCATTGAACATTCATTGTATCCTTCGGCTTCCTGCGGTGCAATTGTGATTTTACCTTACCCTGGCACGTTGCTGATTACGCTCAAAGGAGAATCGAGTCCTCTGTCCTGCGTCCTGAACCCTGAGGAAGGGGACTGGGGCTCCGAGAATCGAGACGACAATGGCGACGACATAAATATCAACGGCACGTCATGTGGCGCCGAGAAGGAAGTGGATGTGAATGCGAATGTGGACGGTGGATGTGGATGGTGGCACACAACGTGTTCGGGCGGAAATTGACACACCGTGAGAGACGTGGAGGTGGCCCAAAGATCTGGCAGTGAAGTAGTGGGGATTTGCAGGTCTGCGAAATGCAGTTGATTGAGCTTTGCATAATTTAAGCCACGCTCCATTAATTACATGCCTGTGCCGTTCCGTTCGGAAAGCCGAAAGCCGAATCGATTGGCAGTCATTTCGCACATGTCCTGAGACATGTCGACATCCGCCGACCAGGACCTTCCGTTCCCACGAGGACCTGCCTCTGCCCAGCCAACTGTAATTGCAGATTGCTTTTGCTTTTGCGGGCCAACCAGCCAAATGTGAGGGTGTGTGAGCCGTTTCTAATTAGCTGCAAACATCACTCGGGGGCCCAATAACAAAACCAAATGCGTGACACCAACACGCCAACGCAGCAGAAATAGCTCAAAACGAGCACTGGATCCACCGGACAGTCAGCCCAATGCCCACCGTCCACCGTTCACCATCAAAGGCAAACCTCCAAGGCACCGGAATCCACGTCGGACTACTCCCAAATGCATTACGCTGACCGCACGGTGGAAAGGATCAATTAAGATAGGAGCCCTATCTGCGTGATTTATAGGAAGCGAAGGAAACACATATTTATGGATGATTTGAGAAACGTAATGATTGAAAAATAACTCACTTGTGAACTCGAAAGTCAGGTGAATAAAAAAAGGTTAAACAATAATACATATTGTACATATCCATTAAAAACATTTCTTAAAAATTATAAAATGTTTATTTAATTTATTGAGTTTGAACTACTTATTTTTGATTTGGGCCAGTTTTTTGTTTTTTTTAATAATTTAAAAATAGTAAAGTACATGACTTGGTTTTTTAAAAAACAAAAAAAAGGTTTTAGGATCTTGAAAACTCATGGTTAACTCATAACTCATTGGCTTAACTCATAATCTCTGATTTATTGATGTTACCTGTTAAAACCAATCTTAAAACTCCTTAGCCTGTCCCATTGTAGACCACTTGGCTGGTCAGTACAAAGTCCTGTCACTTCTCTATATCCCACTCGCTTTTTGGCCGTGTTTGTGTGCATTTTGGGCCATGTGCGTTGTCGCCGTCGTCGACGTCGTCATGGCGGCCAATGTGAAGGCCGATCGATCCGTTAGCGCCGCCCAGCCATTGTCCACCGCCCCTTTTCCCTTCGCCATTTTCCATCCCTTGCAATCCCAGCAGCTCGTCTTGGCAATTTATGTTCATTGAGTTGATGTTGATTTGTGCGCCGCGGCATGATTTTTTAATGGAATGTAATTTATAGTTGTGACGGGGAGAGGGGCTCGGGATAGATGTGCGGAGTCGGTTGGAAACGAAATCGCAGGCCGGCAGACGGGCGTGCACTCGATTGCATTTTGGCCAACTGCACTGGCCGTGTGCCAAATGAGACGGCAAAAACGACACAAATTGCTTGGCTATGGGGTACTCCCCCCTCCCGCTGCTCATCCATTTGGGCCCACTCGCTGTCTGGCGGTACGAAAGTATTTCAAACTCAAATGGCATATCTAAGAGCCGTGGATTCTTAAACTATTCAAATTTGAAAACAAATTTTAAATCCATTTTAAAATGCAATATTTTTTAAAATCATTTTTAATTTCCAATTTATTTATAGTTTAATACACACTTTTGCTGAAGGTACTACTTTCCTAGGTCAAACAATATTTTTAAGAATTTTAACTTAAGGTACTACTTTCTTAGTTCAAACAATATTTTTAAGAATTATAACTTAAATTTAAAAAAAAATGTTTATACCTATTTTGGTAAGTGTAAGAGAGGTAACCGGAAATAACCCGTAATTTCCACTAATTTATTGCAATTTAAAAATCGATAATAAACTAAAATGGCCCTTAAAATTGGCTAATAAAAGTAAACCTTCCGTTTTAAGCGCCTCACAATGCCTCACAAACTGCATTCAAATTTTAAAAGTCTAATAAAATATAATTATTACTTAAAGATTTTGTAAATTTGTAACTGCCAAATAGCTTGTAAAACTTTTGAAACTTGTTGTACTTTATTCAACTTACTTTTCAATCGAGTTACACATCTAAAACTATTGCTGGTGTAATTTAAAATGTATGCAACAAGAAGACGAGAGCAAACTTTTCCATCTGGACCGGAAATTGATTTTGGGCTGGGGGAAAATGAGTCGGTTTCAGTTGAATATCAGCATGAATAACTTACTGAAATCGGAACTCTTAATTAATGGCAGCATTTTTCTGTGCGCTCTTTAAGGAGTTGAAAAACACAGTGCTGACAGTAACATGACAATGAGGCAATCACAACAATTTTGACAATTCCATTTATCTTATTTGCACGAATTTCGCTGCCATAATCGACAGAACAAATAAATCGCCAGCGGGGCTCGAAGTTCTAAAGGGGGCAAATTACTGCGAATATTACGCGATGCTCGTGCACGGTATATGCACAGAAAAAAATATATGTTAAAAACCATTTTTTAATTATTAAAAACATTATTTTTTATAATATCTAAGTACATTTTGTTAAGGTATTTTTGATATTTTATATAAGTACTGACCAAATATTTAAACCAATTTTTTATTTTTTTTAATCTTTTTCATTTTTTTTTAGTTATTAAAAAAATTAAAAATTACCAAATTTTATTTTTGTTTACAGATTTTTATAATTTTTCCTGTGTACTCGTACAAAAATGGAGCCGCAAAGTAGCCGCCGGCTGCTGTTTAAATCGAATCAAACTGAGCAAGTCCGTGGGGTGCAGAGATTCAGGTGAACGAACTAATGAGACTTTGGAAGTTCCATTGCCTCCGACTTTCACTCTGCCATTGCATCATAGAACTTTCCCAACGCCTTGACATTCTCCCCCACCCGTCTTTCCAGCCTTTCACTCACGTGCAATTAAAATGCCTTTGAAATGCAATCTGCGACGCGTTGCGTTGATTTGATTTGAGCCCGCGACATCGCGTGAGTTGAGCTGTGAGCTTGCATAATACGCCTGTGCCTGTGTTCGTGGGAAGATATCGGAAGACTCGTCAGGGGGCAGGGAAAATGCAAGTAATTATATGTGCAAATATTTTCTAATGAGCAAGTGCAATGAGTACCATTTAATTCAAATGGGCAGAGCCGCAGAGCAAACGTTTTGCTGCCGCGAATGTGTAATGAGAGGGAACTTATTATAGTTTATATATTCTTAATCATCCCTTTCGCTGCCAGCTGGAAAATGGAACATGCAAAGCCTTTTAGCAGCTGGCAGGGGAATCCCTGGCACTTCTCAGAGCAAACTAAATTAAATCAGAAATTTATCACTCGGAGAAAGTCGCCGGCTGACAAGTAGAGTAAATTAATCAGTACGGAATTCTTGAATTCCTATTTTTATATTTACTTTGCCATGAATGACAATGTTGACTCAATTAAATATCTTATCTTGGGGAAATGCCCATTCATTGAAGACCCAGACTAAATTAAGTACATTGGGAAATGAATATGATAAATTAGTTGATAAAGCAGAAGATTCCCAGAATTTAGTCTATTATTACACAATTGGGTCACTTGAATGATAAATTTAAAATATCACATATACATTTTATTTTATTTTTTATTACATGGTACATAGTTTCCTTGTGCTATAAATAAACCTTATCAAATCGCTGACTACGTCATTTGCAGTTTAACAACTGTAAAGCCTAACAAAAACAGAACATAAAAACAAATAAAAAAAGGAATAAAAAAGCCATTTTTACGACAACAGGCGGCGCTAATTCATTGACCCACATGGCGTATACGCAATCCGCCGACCTTAAGTCGCCGACATTGCGTATACATCAGGATGAGAGCTCAACTGCTGAGCGGCGGCAGGATCAAGGACAAAGCCGGCGGCCAAAGGAAGTTCTGATTTCACAGGCACAGAGCTACAAAGCCAGCTAATGTCCTTTTGTCAGCGGCAAATTCCCCTCGTGCCACGTGAAGCTGACAAAATATTTTGGCATAATTAACCCTGCTCCTCCAAGGACGACAAAGTGGGCGGTGGAAAGCTTGTGGCAGTCGTGCAATTAAAGTTTCTCGCATTGCGACGCAGCGCACAAAAGGTTTTCACCATTTAGATTTTCCATTACAGATTGCAAAAATGGAACAAAACTGTGGGAAACTGTTGAGTTTTCAACGCTTTTTTCCGGCTACTGCATTTCCAGCGCGAGTGAAGTGAGGCTGCCGGACTGGGAAATATGACTTGCGCTCAGTTGATTTTCGAAATTAATTGAAATTGTTGAAAGTGCTCGAGGAGTGGCAGAAGGGGCGGCTGAGTCGGCTTGAAGGATAAGGCTTAGGGCTCTGACGTCAATTTCAAATGCGCAGTTTTGAAAGGCACTTTACGGGGCTCAAGTCCTTTTGATGAGTGGAATTTCGTCGGTGGAATGGAGAAAAGGGGCGAACGGCTTGGCATTGGGAAACTTTTTCGTAGATATTTAACCGGCTGAGAAAGCAATTTGAAAAGGTTTCCGCCTTGGCTGCCGGATTAGGTAAATTGTTAATTTCAAATGGAGAAGTTCGAGAACCGGGCAAGTGAAAGCCGACTCATCCTTCGGCTAAACTGCACCCACACGGCCGGCAATTGAGCTGGATGTCCACATTTCAATTGGATTCAATTCGCACCGAGAGCGCTGAAAGCCGGCTACCACATTCTCGGATTTACACCATACACTTTTTACACTTTACACTTTGCTCGCACTCGATAGCTGTGCGTATGCTTAGAGCGCTATTACGAAATCATTCTGTCAGCACGTGAAAGCAGAAAGACACTGGGCGTACAGTAATACCTCGATAGGTAGCCGACAATATTAATTATTTAATTTAAAAACTTATTTCACTTGACACATTTGAAAGCTTTTTTAGCTATTATTAAATGAGTAATTAAATTGATAATACAAATTTTAACATTTAAAAACGAAAATACAATATTTTGGAAATACAAAAGAAATTTAAGGTTTGTTTTTAGTTTATTATTTGTATATTTTATAAGTTATTTCAATTAGACAAGGTAAATCCATTAGAGGCTATATTTAGTCGTACGACATTAATAAGCAACTAAACCTTAACGTTAATTTAACATTTTCTTAAATACCAAAACACCGTCCGTAACCCATTTACGAGGGCCCACTGTATCAGCTGGGCAGTGCAGAATTAGTAGAACAACGGCATTTCCGTTATGCACTAAAAAAAATCACAACGAAAATAAAACAACAGAGTTTCTGTTGCGTCAATGCCATTGTCAATGGCGGCGAGTGCCGAACAGTTTTGCATTCATTGTTCGTCTGGCCGACTGCATTTCGCATTTCGCCTTCAATCGATACTTTGAACCTTTGACTGGATGGCCGACTGGCCGATTGACTGACTGACTCGCCTGGCTGGCTGGGTCTTCGTTTTGATTGATTCGATTGCGCCGGTTTGTATTGCTTTGCATGCGACCCCCTTTAAATATTCGCATAAAGTGCGAAAATTTCCACGGGCGTGTGTGTGTTTCGGATGCCCCAAGTTCAGGCGCGGACGAGCAATTAAACTGCCAGCGAATCGAAGACTGAAAAATCAATCAGCGGCCAGCGACGCAAATCGATCAACTCGAATCGACAGACTGCGACTGAGACGTTGTCGCATAAATTTCATTAAATTGCCAGCTGTCGCTTGAACAGACTCAAGATTCAAGACTCAAGAAAGTCGCGGCTTTGGAATGGCTTCGATGTCTGAGAAATGTATTGTTTTACCCCATTAGCTATGCCGAAAGCGGGAATGCACTCTATTTATACATTTTTAAACGGCTAATGACTCTAAATCCAGAACCGTTCTCTTCTTACACTTTCTAATGCCTCAGTCGTGACTTTCTCTGGCTTTAAAAATGTAATTCCTGGCTTTTCCCACGTGGCTTTTGACCTTAGCCAAGCGGAAATTGTTTCGACCGCAAGAAAGTATAAATTCATTACCCGAAAAGTTTTTCTTATCTATTTGCCAGCAGGAAGAAAGCAGAAAAATAAGGAAAACAAAATTAGACCCAAACAAAAAGAAAAATAGACAACTTAAAAAGTGGCAATAATGGCTAATTTATTGGCTATTACAACTTTTCGTTTTTGATTGAAGGAAACCCTTCCCTTAAAATATTTTAAAGTCGTTTGGGCTTGTAAAAGACACGCTGATCTCCTGAAAACTGTTATTACTTGGAATTTTTGGACATAACTAAATAATAGTATAACTTAATCGAACAAAAGTTACGATTATCAGAGTCTTGAGCTAAAAAAATAATAGAACGTCACAATGATAAGAAGCAAGGGGCTGGGGCGATTCCAAAGGCTTTTTTGCCCGTTACTTGATTTCAGACTAGATTTCTTAGATTTACATGGGCAGCCCTCGGGAAATACTTGTCCGGAAGTTACCTCCACAACGCATTTAGAGCATTCCGGCTGTTTGTGATTACTTGTTACAGCCTGGCATCCCAACCCAGGTGACCAAAAGCAGCATGTTTTGTGGACACTGGCTAAAAATAATTTTTTTTTTATACAAAAATCCAGTACTGTGTGGCTAACTTACTTATTTCGGTGAAATAATGACCCTTCGGTACACATTTGAGCAAATGTTCCGGCAAAATTTTGGATTCATTGTATGCAATAGCATTTGCGTCGTCAGGACTCTCGCAGTGAAATCCAATCTCATCAATTTCGCAATTTTCGTTGACCTTTTCACAATCGACGCACTGGATGTTTTCTAATGGAAACATCGGTGTGGTTAGTTTAAATGATATGCCGCCTTCTGTTAATATTAAAATAAATATACTAAGCCAAAAATAACGGTTCATTTTCGCGAGCAACTACAAATTTTGTCTAAAAAACTGATAAATTCAGTCATAATAATCATCTACAATTTCTGATTTTGTAAAAGGCCAAGCCTGTTAGGTTACAAAATTTCAAGAGCATTTTTGAGCTGCATTTTAGATCACAATATTTTTAAAATTTAAATTTACAAGAATATTTAAATATGCTTCAATTATTTTACCCTCACTAATTTATTTTTTCTTTCACTATTCGTTCAGCCGGTCTTATGTAATTCCCAGTTTTGTTGGCCAAAGCAAGTTGTTGAGAATATTTTTTATTGACGTGACATTTATGCATTTTCAATTTTCGTTGCTGTAATTGCTGTCACTCGTGTTTGCTGCCTGACTCAGTTAGCTTTTCAGTGTCTGCTGCAAAAGTTAAAAATAAGTTAGTAAGAATATAATAAGAAAGATCTAAAAATCACAAAAAATTTTTAATTATTGTTTCGTTTTTTTGTTTAATATTTTCTCTTTACTCCGGCTCATTTTGGATGACATAAGGCAGAAAAGTAACCATTTCTGCCTGGCGTTTTTCGTTTCACAAAGCTTAATTTGATTTGATGTGTACATTTTGCTTTTGCCTTTTGTGGGCCAGTCGCACAATTTTTTTGCCTGCACTTTGTCACTTTTTGTTTGCCATTTGCGTGGCTGCCATATAATTTAATCATAGCCATTGGGCGTGTCGCTGACGAAATGGGCAATTAAGCGGAGCAAGAGGAGAGTCGTCCATTGTGGATCAGCCGATCAGCCCGAGATCGATTGGCAATAGCCGAGACTCAGCTTTTCGAGACTCTCGGACTTTAACGGCATTTATGAATAATTTCCGTGGTCCCAGTTTGCCTTCGGCTGGTTGAGAGTTCTGTGCATAACCAGTTGCCGAAACTGAGAAACTTCAAAGTCGGCTACTTGCGTCGCCGTCTTGTCTGGCAATCGAACTATCTGGATTTTGACTTTACGCCCTGGTGGCTTTTAATTTGATTCGAGGCTTTATTTTTAGCAAATCTCATTATACAAGTTTTGCCCCCTCGTTCGATTTCATAAATATTTATTATGTCGTTTGGTCTTATTTTATGCAAACACATGTTTCCTTCAACGAGGGATGCCGCACAAAACACAAAGGCCCAAAACTCGCGATTTCACAACTTCGAAGAAGTGTCCAACTCTTGAACACTTTATCGCCCTTCCAGTGTTTGTTCCTTCGTTTCATCTTAATTGGCTGGCTTTTATGGAAATCCATTCCCCAAGGGAATATTCCACTTAATTTAGTCTGGTAATTTTCCCGCTAAGTCATGATGAAATAATATAACCTATGCGTATTGTAGCTACTTTTGGCGGAATTCTATAATGTTTATTTAAATGCTTCTAAACAATCTTCCAGCCCTGTCGATAGGCTAATTTCTTCAATATAAAGACAGGTCGGAGATAAATAGCCGGCGCATGGATCAGGCGTTAAAGAGCAGCAAACATGTTTCGACTTATTGCTGTTTCTTAACCGAATACATAAAGAAATACAATCAGTTATTGTGGCTCTGAATCGAAAATAAATTAGCATTTTAAATAATTAAAAACCGCACATAACCTGCCCCCGAAATGGCCATGTTTAAAAAGCTTCATAAACTCCGGTTCAACTAGGTTTTTGTATACACTTCCTGAACTAAAATGGTTTTAAATGTTTTTAGTAACTCCTTAAAAATTAAAGGGAAACAGAATATTAAATTTCATTAATAAATTTTGGAAAATTAAATGTAAAATGATATACAGATTTCTTTACAGCCATAAAATCCATTAGAAATTTTAAATAATATTTTTTGTTATTTTTAAGTCCAAAAAATGGTTTAAAAAATATCTAAATTACTTTAAACTTATCACAAGAGTAGTATACCCCTTTAGAATCGTGAACTGTGCTCATTGACCTGCAAATACAGCCGATGCGTGACCAGCGACATGAAAATTGAAATTAAATCCCAAATCCGCATAAATAGACACGCCTAACAATGGCCATTCATTTCGCAAACAGTGCGTTAATCCATACGTACACTTCCACTTTCCGTGGGATTTGTAAAATCAAATGATATTGGCATTTATAGAGGGGCCCGTGGCCGAAAAGGGCTCAATGCTCCCAGCACGCGCGTCGCCTCATTTGGAATGCCAATCAGTTGTCGCGTTTATTGGCATCCCCATCCCTGATTCCCCGACTCGCCGACTTCCCCGATTCGGAAATGGATCAGAGCATTACGTGCAGCAGTAACAGCGGAAGTGGTTTTTAGGGCGCCTTGGCATTCTGCACAGCATTCGTGTGCCGGTCTCTATTGTTCGCATTGAACTCTTCTCCTTTATTTTCATTTGCGGCCGGCTGCAATGGAGATGTGGCATCGGCACCTCTTTTGCATTGCAATGAGCAAAATGCGGAAGCAAAACATTGCGTCACATCTGGAAAAAAAGGTAAAATGGTCCGAAGAAAGGCAAGAATTGTAAAGGCAATTTCGAAATACATTAAAAAAGAGCGGAAAACGGGCGCCGCGAAAGGAAAGTTATTCATTAATACCCCTGGCGAGCCCACAAATCATTCAAAACATTAATGTGAAATTGTTTTTCAATGAGTCTGGCACGTCTATTACTCATACGCCGTGAGTTATGATTGTTTTAACTGCCACAATTACCTCAATATTAACGACGCTAAATGCCCAACAGAATCATCCTTTACGGTCGTTACGAAAAGCGCAGCCATTAATATCAAAATGTCAAATGATGTACAAAATTTATCTGCGGCTTGCCCTTTACCCAGTTTTAGATCGCCAAATGAGTAGACAATTTTTGGTTTTTTTTCTAAAGCCAGAGGCAGTCGGGACCACATTAAACGCTTGACGACGGAAAAAAGACACCGCTATAAACAATTAACTATCGGTCTCCATCGCTTGGAGCCGGGCAGAGTCCAATGTCCAATGTGGTCAAGAGCGAGACACCTGGTCGCCGAGCCCATTCAAAGCTGAGCAAACAAAACCAGCAGTCATCATCCCCACTCAGCAGTAGCAATTGGCCAAAGTTCAACCCACTGATGACGATAGAGACATCTGCCAGACGTCAAGCACGAAAGGCACTTGAGTTTAAGGGCCAAGCGAAAGACAGGGCCGAGATGCATTGTCAAGTGCAGTGAACCCTGCCCGGTTAGATCATCTCCCAAAGAATTTGCTCATGCACTGGAAAAATAAGATCAACTAAATATTTTCGGAATAAAATAAAATAAAAATAAAACAAATAAAAGTATTTAAAAATATTCAAAATATTTGATGTCTAATTTCATATAAACACCTCAGGAATATTCTCGAATTAATCTTGAAATCTTAGTTTATATCAAATTTTCTAAAAACATATTAAAACAATAAAAATATATAGATGTATTAAATATTTGCATATATTTAACAAAAAATTGTACTTTCTCTGTATTTTAAAGCATTTAATTTAAATAGCAGTTAATTTTTTATCCATATAAATATTAAACGACATCCGTTTTGGGTTGCATTTTTTTCGCTGTTCAACCACCGGACGTTGGTTAGCCTATAAAAAGGTAATCGCAGGACAATTTGTTTAACTGAAATTTATTTGGGTTCTGGACGTAATTAAAATCTATTTTCAACTGCGAACGTGAGTTCGAGATCCTGTCCCACCCACGCGAACCAGCCCAGCCAACCAACCAACCCGTTTTGGCGACAGTTGACCTGGCAAAGGGCAAAGGTCGCCGCTGAGTGACCCTCAATGGGCAGTGCATCGCCGCCGGAAGTGGAAGTCTACACTTGCGTTTAGTTTGGTCCCATTTGGCATGATTATTTGTTTGGGATTCGTTAGCTGTTCTTGCTCTTTTCTTTTTTGCTTTCTTTTCTTCTTTTGCCCGTGCAAAAATCGCCAATTGTTTAAACTTTTCTCGCCGGGGGAGCGAGAAACAAACAAAACTAAGTTGCCATCGACAACTCGGTGAACGATTTACAGCCCGTCGAATTTTTATTTTTTTTCCGTCCAAAGAGGCTATCGCTTTGTTACTTTAAGCGATCGAAGTAAAGCCAATTTGGCTTAGACCAAAATCCACACCCACTACACGCATTTGGCGTTTCCCAAAAAGCCAAAGGCCGATGCAATCGCAGCCAGTTTGGCTGGGAAACCCACAATGGCAGTATGGAAATCTAAATTATTTAATCATGAGATATGCCACTACAAATAAATGGAATCACAAATTTATTATGAGCCAGCTTTTGTTGCTGCTGCCAACAACGGGCTTATTATACACATTTATTAATTCAACACAAGAAATTATTGTTATTGCTGGATTATTGTTTCCATTTTCCGCTTTTTTCAGCTCTGAATGCATGCGGTGCTTTGACCTAGAGGGCAAATTACAGTGGGACAAGGATGAGAGAGTTTAAAATTAAAATAAAACCTAAAAACCTGGAACGACATACTCTCACTCAATTTGACTTAATAGCTAACATAAGAAACACTATATACACAAAAAAATTTGAAATATAAATTAATTTTAAATCAAAATTTATTCCATAGACCCACTGTAGTAGCAATTCCCATCAGAGCGGTCTTCCAAATGTTGTCCATTCAGAGCACTACAATATTTTTTTCATAGTTTTCATACTTTTTAGCTAGTAGACGAGTCATTGAATAATTCAAACAGCGAACTATTTAAAATTATACACATTCAAAAAAATTAACAAACATTTTGATTGAAAAAGAAAAGATTTACTGGATATTTGGAGTTTGGATTGGTAGAAACAAAATATTTAATAATAAATAACAATTATGTACCAAAAAAACATAAAATAAGAGTATTTGTAAACTCGTTATTCCAAAAATCCCCGCCGCACTGGTATTTCTAGCATACTAAAATAAGACGAAAAAATAAAAAATCCCAAACCAACAGCATGAACATAAACAAAACGCAGCGTCAATTGGAAATACCCAAAAAAAAAGAAACAGCACAACAACAATCCGATTTTCGACTGTGAACTTTGCGTAAATAAAACAGACGCTCTTTTAATACGTGGAAAAACTCCAATGACTAG